GGCAGAACCACGGTCTAGGCCAGGAACCTGCAGCCAGGACTGCAGTGACTTGTGCCTGGCAGGTCAGCCTGTCCATTGTAACTGTGGCCAATTTTCCCATAAGCCTAGGGCTGAAGGTTTTCTGTCCCTGGGTGATCCAGGGATGAGTGTGGACCCCTGACTCCCCAAGTGACAGCAGGGGTGTCAAGTCCCCAGCAGGGAAGAAAGCCAGCTTGGGAGCTAGCCTGAGCTGCTGCTGAGGGCTCTGGCCCCAAGCTTGGTGCAGACGGCCTTACTTCTGTGCCGGGGAGGCCAGCCGGCTTCTCTGCATGGCTGTTGCTAGGAAGACTGTATGTCAGCAGGAGGCTTTGCCGGTGTCTCCCAGTGGGTTCTACTCAGCCACTTGCCCTGCCCTGCACCCATCGCTCATGTGGTTGGGCTCCCCTCTTGTCCCCTGGGCTGGTGCTGAGCCCTGCCACTGAGTGCCTCTGCCGGACAGAGCTGTTTTGACATGGTGGCAGCCACTCTATGGAGACCGGGCGCCAGGGGCCATTGATGAACAGTAGTGCTGCAGCCGAGGGTGATGGGAACTCCTGTAGCACATTCCCAGGCAGACAGGTTTCATCCAGATAAGGGGGCTCAGGTGGCCCAGGGTGCTGGGGCTGGAGCTTGTTTAAGGAGTTGAGCTTTCTCAGCTGCGGTAGCCACTGAATCAGTTCTCCATCATGTTGGGAGCCTTTGGTTCTGCGTCCATCACTAACTTGCCCTTTGCCCTTTGCAGAGGGTCTCAATGCAGACTACGTGAAGGGGGAGAACTTGGAAGCTGTGGTGTGTGAGGAACCTCAAGGTGAGGACTTTGTGGACACTGTCCCTTGCAGAAGGTCTCCTAGGTGGTAGCCCCACACTGAGCACGGGGGTTGGGAAGCAGGGGAGCACAGAGGTGTCTGCCGCTAGGTGGTCCGGAGTGCAGTGTCCCCACATGCTCACCCTGGTCAGCCACCTCCCAGCTCCATGAGGCCAGGGACATGGGGATGACAGCCAAGCCTCCTGGCACCATACAGATGACTCCCAGACCCTGGTGCTGGTCCTCTGCCCCGCTGGTGAAAGTCGATGCACCCTGGACACATTGGACAGAGCCAGGGCAAGCTCCTACCCCAGACCTACAACCTTTGCATTCAAAGGTTGCCAAAGGCCACAGGGATCATGGTGGAAATCCGGATCCTATTACTTAAACCTGTGCCTCCCCTACTGTGGTCATGGAGCGCTTTCAGGGTTCAGAGCTCTTGGCAGTTGAGGCTCCATGAGGTCAGGGCACAGGCCTGGAGTGACCAGCCTCTCGAGGGATGCCTGTGTGGTGACTGCAGCTGCAGGGTAGCAGCTGTGGGGACAGGCCAGGATGTGGCAGGGAGCGAGGCGCCCACACAGCTGCTTAGCTGGGTTATCCAGCAGGGCCGCCCTGACAGCCAGGCAGCCCTAGCCCTAAATGTGGGAAGCAGCTCCTAGGCGTCCACCGTTGTCATTCACACTGTTAGCCACCACCGAGGGAGCACTGTGGGCCAGGCACTACCTTGAGCGCTTTAAAAAATAACCCTCCCAGCAACCCTATCAGGAGCATTCCCATTTTCCAGTTGAGGAAATGGAGGCTGAGCTGTTGACAAAACCCACGCAGCTTCCTCCTCCTCACCACCTGAACGCCGCTCCTGGGGCCCCGGGTAGTATGGGCTGGTACCGAGCTGCCCCCGGTCCTGGACAGGACAGACACGGCCCTGACTTCTGTAGTCGGCGGGGCCTGGTGTCCGCACTTCTGCGCAGTACGCAGTACAGAGCTGCATCAGTCCTGACAGCCGTCTTCTCTCCCTAGTGAAATACTCGGCGCTACAAACGCAGTCTGCGGAGCCGCCGCCCCAGCAGCCCCGGATCTGAGGCCCCGCTTGGCAGAGGTGCACAGACCCAGCTCCCTGCTCTTCCCACATCACTGGCTTCTCGTTTTGAGTTTTCCGGCTGAGCTCTGGGTATTCGTGCATTTGGTTTCTGCACCCCATCATGCAGGGTGGGGTACTCCACCACAAGTACTCCAGAGAGACTTTGGTGCTGACACACAAGACACAGCTCTGGCAGAAAGCCAGCACCAGCCTCAGGAACTCCTGGGTCACAAGCTTGAGGCCAGCCTGCCCCTGGCCTTAGGGGGCATGGGAATGGAAGAATCTGAGATGCTGTGAGCAAGAGAACGCTGGGGGTGACGACAAGGGGAGTAATGACGCCTAGGGGACATGAGTCGGACCCCAGGGGAGTGTGGGCCCCCTCCCATGCTGGAGATTCATTGTGGCAGGTTTCTTCTAATAGGCAGGAACCTCAGAGAGCTGTGAGTTGGGCGCCCGCCAGCGCCCAGTTCACATGACACCCCTGCGAGGAGTGAATGGTCAGCACCAAGTAGCACCCGACACGCCACCCCCAGGGCGGCATTTTCATTTCAGTCTTTTCTTGCAATTCCAGGTTTTATGTTGCTGGAGGCTTTTCAGCTATTTAAGTGTGAACTTGCATCTCATGATAGTCCTGTCCTGAATTTAAGAATCTTCTGGAGAAGTAGGACACTGTGCTTGCAGGCCTGATTCCCATCTGATTCTGGAGGGCCTGGGTATGGTCTCAGGCTGGCGCGACTACAGTTTCTGGGAATTGTTTCTGCATTGGTCATGCGTTTTCTCGGGGTTGGGGAGGTACTCACCCTCCACCCCAGGTATGATCTGATGTTGGTAGCAAGAGCTACAGACATCAAGAATGAGCAGCAAAGCTAGAAGCATGCTTGTCGTTTGCTTAGACATGTACTTGGGGGGTGGAGGGTGGGAAAGGGAGGGAGATGCTTGCTTGGGTTAATGAAATACAGCTGACTTTGCAGCACTATCGTTCTGTCCGTCCTTCTGAAGAGTGCTTGGGGGTCTATGCTCACTGTGACACATAAGGGAACCCAGGGACTGGCCACTTGCCTGGTCCAGAGCTCCCTGGGTTGAGCTGGGGCAGAGTTGGCTTTCTGGATTGTTCACTTGGCCCACAGGTTGGGATCTGTTTGCTTCTGTCCCAGCAAACTCTGCTGTCAGAGGCTGAGCTAGGGTCTGGAGCCCCTGTCCAGTTTGTCATGTCAGAAAGCACCTAGCAAAGCAGAGTACAAGTCACCAGGCCAGGCAAGATTTTGTTTACAGGGCTCGTGAGCCTCTTTGGATTGCACTTGGGCCCCATGCCTTCCAGAGGAGCAGCTTTGGCACCTTCACGTCCTCTGCAGTGGACTGAGGCAACTCCAGTTTCTTCAAGGAACCGTCGACCTCCAGACGGACCACACATGCTAGTGAACACGTGCCTCGTATGTCAGTTGTTTTCAAACTGTGTGCGTGGTGCAGGGCGGTTGGTTGTAGCAGTCTCCAGGCCACTGTGCAAGTCTCTTCCCAGTGTGTGCCCATGGGCTCCAAGACAGCACTTGCGTTCAGCCCGTCAACCCCAGACAGACCTGGGTTGTGCAGCGATGGGCACCAGGAGCACTGGGGAAAGAAAGCCTCCACACAACAGTAGAAGATGGGAACCAAGGCCATTTCCTGTCCTTGGGAAGCTGTTCTGCAAGGGATGCACCGCTTGCAAGGTTTGTCTGCTTCCAGAGACCTCCAACCCCACTGGCCAGAACGCTGTTAATTTTGTCAGGTTTGTCCCTCCCTGGCAGGAAGGACAGGATGGGCTGATGGCCCCACCCTTTGGCTGGCACTGGGTTGCAGGTGGCTGTGGAGGATTTTTGCATCCATGGCCTGCTGCCACCTAGATGGAGCAACCTCAGGGAGGGTGTCCACCTTACCTTTCACAGTGAGGCCTGTTTAATGGCAAAGACCCAGCAGCCCCAGAGCTGCCATGTGACCCTGTGGAACCATTTTCTTAGGACCATCGACCTCAGCTCTCCTCTCTGCACACAGCCCAGAGCCTGGCACCCAGGCCCACAGGCAGTAGGGCCTGGGAACCGCACGTGCACCTCCTGCCTGTGGAGCTCTCTTCCCGGGGGCTTCTTCTTGCAGGTCCTCTAGACTTGCCCAGGCATGGTCACCTAGAGTAGCCAAGGGGGCCCCTGTAACCATGTGTCCTCTGAAAGTTGTATTGGCCATCATGGGCCCACCCTGGGTGATGAGAGAGGACTAGGTGGGCCAACTGGAAACACTCATTGGCATCAGCTTGGCAGGGAACACTTTAAATACCCAGTATTTACAGTAACAACTGAGTGCCGGTTGAAGTCACAGCTCAGTGGAAGGTGGGTGAGGGAGCAAGAAGGGGGTGAATTGGTGGGGTGGGCCTGGGAGGAACATTGAGAATGGTGCAGGCCACTGGCTCAGCTGCTCCGGCTGAGCGCTCGTTACCAGTTCTATGAAGAAGAAATGGAGCCTGGTCTCAGAATCCCCTGGATCTCTCTTTATGTGCTTGTGCTCAAGTGTGAATTGTGAACTACCTAGTGTTTGCATTAAACAAGATGGAACCTCGCAGACCCTGAGTTCTGGTGGTGTTGAGGCCCTTCCTTT